TGAGCGGCGCGTCCGTCTGCGGGTGGGTGACCCTGAGCGGCGCGTCCCGCATTAACACCAAGAAGGCAGCTGACGTCCATTTTCTGCTACATGTGGATTTTTCAGTCAATATGTTGATAAAAACTGCAGTTTTTGCTACCTATTTAGATCACAATAAAATGGGTTAACTAGGTAACAGCGATACAGCGTATGACTGCTATCCAGCTATTGGGCACTGAGAGGCACAGTCCCTGTTACGTAGCGGGTCTCCTGCTCCCAGCGCCCACACAGACACCTGCACACAAACAGCAATGCTATAATGCTATAGCAATGATCCCAGGGCAGCAGTGCCTCACTTTTTCTGATGAAGTAAAGAATGGTCCTTTTCCTCCTGCCTCACATCGTCTCTGACAGCCCGCTCAGTGAGGTCTCCTCTTCCTCCTGCCTCATGTGGTCTCTCTCCTCCTCCTGCCTCATGTGGTCTCTCTCTTCATCCTGCCTCTCGTGGTCTCTGACAGCCCACTCAGTGAGGTCTCCTCTTCCTCCTGCCTCATGTGGTCTCTCTCNCCTCATGTGGTCTCTCTCTTCATCCTGCCTCTCGTGGTCTCTGACAGCCCACTCAGTGAGGTCTCCTCTTCCTCCTGCCTCATGTGGTCTCTCTCTTCTTCCTGCCTCATGTGGTCTCTCTCTTCTTCCTGCCTCATGTGGTCTCTGAAAGCGCATTTTCCCTCTACAGAATACTGACCTCATGCTTCTTTCTCAGGGCTGACTCTAAACAAAGGAGCATGGAGGTGTGAGACTGGACTGCCAGTCAGCAGACTGAATTTGCAGTGAGCTGTGTTTGTGCGTGGTGACGCTATTTGTTGTGGTTTTGTAAGTGCGTCCGCCCCCCTGGGTCTTTCTCTCCAACCAGGAGGTGCGTCTCGAGCTCAGCTCCCAGAGGGCCGTGCTTCAGGGCATCATGGAGGGCCTCAGGGTGAAGTATCCCAGCAGCTTCCCTTTGGTGCCCATGGAGGTGCAGAAGCCCCTGCAAGATGTCACTCACCTGCTGGAAGAGCTGGAGGAAAAGGTAGATGCACCAGCGAACGTTAGGTCATCTGTAAACTCCATGCATTTCAGATATTTTTTGTGCAAGTCCAGATTTACTTGCTGTCTGTACGTTAAAATGGCTCGTGTCACACCGTCCCATTGCGAGGCGTTTCACAACCCCATGACAAAGGTCAAAGGTCACCGGAGTCTTTAAGGCAGGGGTGTCCAAAATCCGGCCCGCGGGCCAATCACGGCCCTCGGCCAGATTTCATACAGCCCGCAGCTTCGGTCTCATAATGTGTTATTTATGGCCCACTAGCTCTGTCAGAATAAATAAATACTTTAAAAATGTAATTCCTCCTTTCACCACACGGTTCCGATGCTATCTGGCTCTGCATTAGAGACCTGCACTCCCGCGGGATCCAACGCACCGAGTGCGGCGCGGGACAAGATTTGATGGGTGAATGCGGGTGCGGGCGGTAAGGTCCTCATGTAGGCTATGTGCGGGTTGCGGGAGAATAGAATTAATCGCGGGACTCCCGCAAAATGGAATTATCTTAAAATTAATTTATTAAAAACAAATACTCTATTATTTATCTACTGCACAAAAGCAACAAGAACGACTAAATTAAAATAATAATTTACAGGCACAAGGTCGGAAGCTAATTCTCGCGTGGTTCATGCGCGGAACTATAGGCTATATCTATATCCTCGTTCGTGTCCATGTTCATCATTCCATTTAATTAAACTCAAATAAAACGAAACACATTTGTTTGTTTTCCGTTTCTTTTTTATATACACTCAAAAGGGAAGCAAGTGAAACAAATAACAGAGTAGCGGGAAGAAGCGGTAAAAATAAAACTACTTATATGTTTACCTGCGGGATTTTGCAGGCGGGAGCGGGAGAAAATAATATATATTTTTTGTGGGAGCGGGACAGAATCTTGCGGGAGCGGGACTGAAAAATGCGGTCACTCGCTAAGAAAATGCTGAGCTTATTCGGCTCCACATATTTGTGTGAGCAAACATTCTCAGTCATGAATCTGCACAAGAACCGATTGAGGTCAAGGATGACTGACTCCCACTTACGTGACATTTTACGCATCTCAACCACTGCCCTCAAGCCAGACCTGGTCTCTTTACTGAAATCTAGATCTCAGTATCACCCTTCTCATTAGTATCAGCAAGTTATCTGTTCCTTGTTCAATCTGAAATTGAGTGTTTTTTGAACGGTAACATCTGTCACTATTATCAATGAAAAGCCTAAAGCACAATAATAAAGTTAGACTTATGTCACTTATTTTATTAAACTCTAATAAGATTTGGTTATAACTGTTGATGTTATGTTTGGTTACATTGCCATTTAAAAAATAAAGGTAATCGTGACAATGAAAATTGTTTTATAACAGTGTGTATTTTCATGTAACTTTTGTGGTTAAAAAAATGTCAGAAGGAACTAGTGGCCCCCGGACATCTTCACTTTATCAAATTTGGCCCTCCTTGCAAAAAGTTTGGACACCCCTGCTTTAAGGTAACCGGTGAGCTGTCTTGCAGCTGGCAGAGACAGCGGAGATGATCAGCCCTGTGCGGCGGCTGGGTGTCGGTGTAACCCAGGTGACAGGCGGCTTGCGGCAGGTCATGTCCCTGCTGGAGCAGAAGAGTTCCACGGTGGTGGAGGCAGAGTACCTTCAGAAGGTGGGTGTGATGTCCACCAGCTTTCTCTCCCAAACACCCCCCCCCCCCCCATCATGTGAATTATTTATATCACCGTGCTCTTTGGGTGTTTTCTATAATATAATGCCATTTCGGTCTGGATCTTACCATTATATTTAGTTTATTTTTAATATGCCGTATTTTTAAACTGTGCGAGAACTGATACCCATCTGCCCGTGCAAACATCTTGTAACCACTTACTCTGGCCAGGGTTTTAAAGACCGTGTGTTACGGTGTGTGTAAGTGTGATTAAGCTAACTGGCTCTCGCTGTATTGGAGAATGCTATTGAAGATCCAGGTGTGTGCGTGTGTCTGTGTGTGTGCATGTGTCTGTGTGTGTGTCTGTGTGTGTGTGCATGTGTGTGTGTGTGTGTGTGTGTGTGTGTGTCCTGACAGCGCGTGTGGGACGAGCTGGACCGCTGGCACAATCAGCTGGCAGCTCTGGAGTCCGAGGTGGTCGACATGAGTCAGGATCAGCCAGAACAGGCCCACGATCTGATGGACCAGCTGACGGAGCCTCTCCAGCTGTACCAGAAAGTGGCCAAGCAGGCAGAGCAGAGGACGGCATTCCTCAGCAAGGTTGGTGGAGATTAGGCTCAGAGGCTTTGATGGCAGATGCCACATCACCCAGCAGGACTTTGGCTTGTTACTTATTGTGAAAAAGACGCCATGGGACTTATAGGTAAATAAAAATAAAGTAATTGCCTCATTACTTCTATAAAAGCATCTTCGTAGGAGTGGTCATGGTGCATGTCTGTCGGTGTGTGTTCACACTGACTGTGGAGGAGGAAGTATGCGATTTACTCAAGTAAAAGTACAAATAAATGTACTCTAGTAAACGTTGAAGTACCCTATGAATACACTGCACAACGTTTCACAGTGCTCTGATTTCGAAATTGAAGAAAAAAAATCAAATATGAGTAAATAACTTTTATTTATTGAGTAAATTATAAATAAGATGTGCTATATTGTGATACATATTGCTGTTGGGATATTTTGGTCATATCTCAAAGCCACATATGTGTGTGTTATTAAATAACACTTACCAGCTAATGGTCACAGGATGCAAATTTTAACCCTTTTGTCATGACATTACCTACATGCTATTCCCAATTCACCAATAAGTCTGCCTGATCACAAAGAGCTGAGGATCACCTCCTGCCATTTCAGGGCCACTTTCCATAATGAATCAAATAGTATGCAGTACAAACCATATAACAGCCAATCTCTCTGACCACAAAACCAGAATTTGAAACCTCTGACACCTGCTCCATGCTAAATCTAAGAAAAGTATATATATGTGAAAAATGTATTTAAGTACAGTAACATAGTCATTGTACTTCATTACTTTCCACCACTGCATGTGACCTGGTGCTACAAGACTCTCCTTCCCTCTGGCCTGCAGATTCCGGCTTGCCTACAGGAGTATGATGAGATCATGGCCAGCTCCAACTCCTGGTTGAGGGAGGCCAATGGCTGGCTGAAGACCCCCTGCACCTACACCTCTGCCAGATCCCTCAGCAGCCACGTTCATACTCTCCAGGTCTGTCTCCTGCTCTCCAAATGGAGCAAAAGCCTATAAAAGCCAAAGTTTCCTGTGTTGCACGTCTGAAACCTGGCATGAAATGTCCTCATTAAAGTGTTATGTGTGGTTATGTTGCATGTGGGTCATCTAGGTGGACGTTGATCTTCATTTGGTGGGTGGGACCAAAAGTGTGTCTCTCACTGAGGCTCGGTACATGCAGTGGAAATCTTAAGGTAAAGATGGTCTAAACACCTCCGTGTCCAAACCAACAGGTGCTTCTGGAAGACTCTGAGCAGATGAGGGCGACCTTACAGGCATTTACGCCCTTTCTAAAAGAGATCTCCACTGTGTGCAACACGATGACCCTAGAGCAGCGACTGAGCCAGGCTGATGAGCATGTTGCTTCCATGCAGCAAAGCATTGTGGGTCCGCTGACCCAGCTCCAGAACACCGCTGCAGTAAGCTCTTCTACTGTGGTTTCAGTGTGAAAGCTACAATTTGGACTGAAATTTCTGCTTTGACTAGCACCAGTGTCTTTTTATTATTGCATTAGACTGAAATTATTGCTTAATTAATTAAAATGTTTTAGTCATTTTGGAAATATGTTATATGACATTTGCCTATAGGAAGTGGATGCCATTGAAACAGAAGTGAAGGTTATGGAAAAAAATGTAACCAAAATCAGGGCCATCCTGTCATCCCTGGACTCTGAATCAGTGTCTCCAGAGGAGCACATGCGAGACTGGCAGGTGAGCTGGCTTTCCTCTCTCCAGGTTGGCGTTTCGTCTCTGGTAAATGGCTTTCTAACTGGTGTTTATGTTTGCATGCCTTTGCCTGCATTCTTGCATACGTGTGTATTGTGTAATTATTCCAATATCCGTTACAGGTGATTCTGGACAACATCCAGGCAATGAAGAGGACAATAACCGAGATCCAAAACTGTAAACCTGCCCTGGGCCTGCCCAGGGAAGCAGAGGAGACTCTGGATGTCTTCCAGAGAGCTCAGGACCTTCTGCCACCTATACAAAACCTGGAGCAGGAGACCGTTGCACAGATCGCGACAATAAAGGTCTGAGACTGAGACGTCTGTTCTCTGCAAACGCAGACCATTCGGTGACCACTGAGAAATGAGCCTCTGAGGCAGATTAACTCCAGGGTGTGTCTAGCGTATGACAAAAATATAATCTACTGTGTCAGAGCAGAACAGGGAGGCGGCAGTCTGAGTTGTCGGTGGTGCTTTGGCTGCTCCATTCTCCTTTAATGCTCTTTGTCAGTTTAATGACCGGGAGCCTTTCTCTATATCATTTAGCACCATAGTATAATTTGTGCTGCTCAGCTTGGTTCGCATTCCACAGGCTTTACCAGCATACGTGAGAACATGTGCTGGGTGCCTTGCTGACCGTCTTGGCAATGAGGCTCGTCTCCCTTTGTCCCTTGCCTGTGCAGGAGAAGGTGTGGGAGACATCTCTATCTGAGGAGGAAGAGGAGAGCAGCTCCCACTCATCTTCCTCTGACACGCTCTTAGGGAGTGTGTCTGAGGTAAAGGCAGCGGCTCTGCTCTCTCATTATTGCCGCAGCATCTTCTAGCCGTGCAGAAATTCCACTTCTTATCCTCTCTTCGTGTTGGTTTTCTGCCTGGATTCCTGCTCATTCTATTTGTCCACACCCTTCTTTTTCTTGGGGCCAGAACACGATCTTGTTCCCTTTCTCCTTACTTAAGCTATTCTCTTGTTCGTTTCTTTTTCTTATCTTCCTTCTCCCTTGTTTACTCTTTCACTCGTCGTGGTATTTTCCTTTTCTTTTGACACTTATTGCTACTCGCCTGGGCTCGTATGTCACTTTAATCGATTGGGTATTAGTCATTAGCATTGTTCATTTAGGAAACCATATCTTACTGCCCTCTAAATGCAGGAGCCTGCATCAAGTTGGGTTATAAAGTCATAAAAAGTAGGTAATATGCAAGTTCTTCCATTGTCCATTGTTCCTAGATGGTTCAGTTGTTTTTGTTGAAGTCTATTACTGTGCTTTTCACACCCAAGTAATGCACTCTTAAGAAAGACTGGCTGAATAAAATACGTAAGGCCATGACAACTGCGGGCTCCACCCTGGAACCTTCGGTTCCCAGTTCAGTGATCATTGCCTCATAGTCGCCACCTTTGCTGCCGGGGTCTGCAGTTAATGTGAAGGCCCTGACAATGATCTGGGAGTGACGGTGACGGGTTTGTTTTTCTCTCCTCCGCTGCCCATTGGTTAGAGTCCCGATGACACAGCTGAAGAGCCCACCTTCCCTGCAGAGGGTGCCATGGGAGCTGCGGGGGGAGGTGGGGCCCTGCACGGGGACTTGGCTGTTGGGGCAGCTTGCGGTGGAGCTGCCTTTGGAGACGACCTTAATGTGGGGGTCCTGGAAACCCCTGAACCCCATCTAATACCTGCCACCAAGGTAAAACTCTTTCTGCGTGAGGCTATGCGCACAGTGGTCTAAGTAAACTGCTTGCATTTCAAGTAGCTTTTATTATTATTATTATTATTAACCATCAGCCTTTCATAACTGCATATATATTACATGGTCGCTGTGTATTCCTTTAATCATATATTGCTGATAATATATGTATAACAAATTAAGTTTGCTTGTCAGTTACTGTGGAAAAGAAAACTGAATGGATGGATATTATGTATATATGTGTATTAATATCACATCCCTCTTCCCTCCTCTCTTCATCTTTGTCCTCCTTCTTACACTGTGCCTGGGCCATTGGGACAGAGTGCAATTGGTTGGCAAGAGGGGGACACACTTCCAGAGCCAATAAGAAAGCAGATCTTTGACCCACATGACAAGGACATGCTCAGATGCAGCACTCCCAGTTCAGAGACACTGAAGGATGACCGTCAGGCTGAAGTCGGGGGAGATGTTCCTGTTCCCCCATTGTCAGTGTCGGTATCACTGGAAACTGACTATGATTCACAACTGAGTACAACCATTCCACAGGAGAATGCCTCTGTGTCTCAAGAGGCTCTGTCACTGCTGTACAAGAGGAATGCATCTCTGCCTGAAGAGACTAAATCAGTAACACAGGACACTGTGTCAGTCCCAGTTTGTGTTGTGTCAATTTTTGAAGAGACTATGTCAATAACACAGGAGACTGTGTCAGTTCCCCAGATGGATGTGACATCTCCTGAAAAGACTATATTAGTAGCACAGGACACCGTGTCTCTTCTGCAGAAGCATGCGTCAGCTCCTGCAGAGACTGTATCAGTCATGCCTGACACTATGTCATTTCCCAAGAGTGATGTGTCAAGTACCAAAGACATTATATTTGTAACACAGGACACCATGTCAGTTCAGCAGAAGGATGTGTCCGCTCCTGCAGAGACTATATCAATAACACAGGAGACTGTGTCAGGTCAGCAGAAGGATGTGTCCGCTCCTGCAGAGACTATATCAATAACACAGGAGACTGTGTCAGTTCCACAGAAGGATGTGTCAGCTCCCAAAGAGACTACGTCTGTAAAAAAGGAGACCGTGTCAGTTCACATGAGGGATGTGTCAGCTCCCAAAGAGACTACGTCTGTAAAAAAGGAGACCGTGTCAGTTCACATGAGAGATGTGTCAGCTCCCAAAGAGAATATATCAGCAATACAGGAGACTGTGTCAGTTCCCAAGACGGATGTATCAGCTCCCAAAGAGGCTGTGTCTGCACCACAAGACATGTTCTCAGTTCCACAAAAGGATGTGTCAGCTCCCAAAGACACTACATCAGTGAGACGGGGCACCGTGGCAGTTCTCCAGAAAGATGTGTCAGCTCCCAAAGAAACTACATCAGTAACACAGGAGACTGTGTCAGTCCCTCAGAAGCATGTTTCAGCTCCCAAAGAGACTACATCTGTAGCACAGGAGACTGTGACAGTACACACAAGGGATGTGTCAGCTCCCAAAGAGACTACATCAGCAATACAGGAGACTGTGTCAGTTTCCAGGACAGATGTGTCAGCTCCCAAAGAAACTACATCAGTTACACAGGAGACTGTGTCAGTGTGCCAGAAGAATGTGGCAGCACCTGCAGAAACTAGATCAGTAACACATGATGCTCTGTCAGTTGCCAAGAGGGATAAGTCAACTAGTAAAGAGAATATATCTGTAACAGAGCAGACAATGTCAGTTCCCAAGGGGTATGTGACAACTAGCAAAGAAATTATATCAGTAACACAGAACACTATGTCAGTTCACAAAGAGATTACATCAGTGACACAGGACCCAGTGTCAGTTCCCAAGACGGAAGTATCAGCTCCCAAAGAGACTACATCAGTTACACAGGAGAATGTGTCAGTTCACCAGAAGGATGTGTCAGGAACCAATAAGGATATATCAGAAACACGACAAACTGTGCCAGTTCGAAAGAGGGATGTGTCAGCTCCCAAAAAGACTATATCAGCAACACAGGATACTGTGTCAGTTCCCAAGAGGGATGTGTCAGCTCCCAAAGAGACTATATCAGCAATACAGGAGACTGTGTCAGTTTCCAAGACAGATGCATCATTTCCCAAAGAGACAACATCAGTTACACAGGAGACTGTGTCAGTTCCCAAGAGGGATGTGTCAGCTCCCAAAAAGACTATATCAGCAACACAGGAGACTGTGTCAGTTCCCAAGAGGGATATGTCAACTAGTAAAGAGAATAAATCTGTAACAGAGAAGACAATGACAGTTCCAATGAGGGATGTGACAGCTATCAAAGAGACTATATCAGTAACACAGGACACTATGTCAGTTCCACAAAAGGATGTGTCAGCTCCTCCAGAGTCTCTATCAGAAACACATGAGACTGTGTCAGTTCACAAGAGGGAAGTGTCAGCTCCCAAAGAGACTATACCAGTTACACAGGAGACTGTGTCAGTTCACCAGAAGGATGTGTCAGAAACACCAGAAACAGTGCCAGTCCGAAAGAGGGATGTGTCAGCTCCCAAAAAGACTACATCAGTAACACATGAGACTGGGCCAGTTCACCAGAAGGATGTGTCAGCTCCTGAAGAACCTATGTCAGTAGCAGTTGACACAGTGTCAATTCTCCAGAAGGATGTGTCAGCTCCTGAAGAACCTATGTCAGTAGCAGTGGACACAGTGTCAGTT